GTAGTCGTTAGACCGTTGACCTCGCATAGGGGGGGGGGGGCGGGGGGGTTCGAGAGCGGGGTGTTCTTGTCCAGCCAACGAAGGGAGTGACATCCATTTCTTTTTTTTTCATGCCATCGTATCTTTTCGTTTGTTGCTTCCTTGCTTTCTCCTTTTCCACTCGCCCCCCCGACGCTGTTTCAATTTAGCAGGAATTGATCCTTTTTTTTTCCATGTGTTGCGCATGCTTACGTGCGTATGCTGCTGAGAACCAAGAGCCGGCAAGTCTTCACGAATTTCTTCGCCAGGATAGGATTTAGGTCACATTACAAAAAAAAATTAGTATCGGTTTGTTTTTTTTAGCCGCAGCAGAAACCCCAACTTGCAACATGAGGGGAATAATATTTTTTGTAGATGATTTTAGTTCTCTTTCTCAGCGTACAGACTCAACGTAAGTCCATTCTCACGATCCGGCAGCTGTTTGTCTCTCAGCCGTCACGGCTTGTCTTGTGAAGATCTTCCAACGCATCTGTTCGAACGGACTCGTACGGGAAGTTTTAATTCGATGTTTTCACGTTGCATTTCTGCTCATGTGGAAGCAGTGGCCGTTGGCTGGTTCGGGTTGCGGCACCGCTGATTCGCGTGGCACGCCTCGCACCGCCGCGCCTACCCACGAGAATCCATCTCGCCGTAAATGGAAGAAGGACGGCATTTCGGCGGACGCTAGAGAATTGACATGCATACACGTGTACTGATGGCCGCCCTTGATGATGAAGATCTGCAGCAGCCGCCGATACCGTCGTCAATGGAAGAAGGACGGCATTTCAACGGCTAGAAAGTGGAGATGTGTACTGATGGCCGCCCTTGAGAAACAACTGCCTGCCGTGTTGTCAGAAGCGGAAGCGGTTGTTACCCAAGCCTTTCTCCCGTTGTGCGAAAGCAAAGCACCACCATCCTCTCCCTGGCCAAAAAAAAAAAAGCTCAGCACTGATTGGCGCGCCTCAAGGATGACCGGAGACAGCCTCCGCGCCCGGCGTCACTATTTGAAGCCACAGCCAACACGCGGCGACTCACGACTTTGGCACCGGACAACAGCCGCGCGAACAGCCTTTCGGCGGATGCTGTACGAAAGCAGGGCGCACCACGCAAGCATAGAAGCGAGTGCATCGCAGCCCGACCGACGAATGGGAGGCTGCAAGAAGCAAGCAAGTCAAGGGTCGCCTGGGCCGGTCTGTCCGTAGCTCTCCATACATGCGCGCACCTGCCCCTTCCATCCGCGAACAGCGCAAGCTCAATTTCCAACGCCCAAACAAAACCACCTAGCACAATCTCGCTTTCGTTCCATGTCTTAACCAAGCGCACCCGCCAGCAGAACGGCGAATTTCACCACCTCTCTACTGCGTGTCGTGCACAACGTAACACACCGGACTTCGCAAAAGAACGTTCCAAGAACGTTCCGAATCCCCCGGAAGACACGCTTCCTCCAACAATCCCGCACAATACCTCACTCACGCCCCCCCCCCCCCCCCCCCAAAAACCCGCCGGTTTTTTTTGTTTCAAAACAAACCCCCCCGAAACCAAAAACCAAAAATCCCAACCCAACCCCCGT